TCCAAAACTTACATGTTTTTCTAAATCATGAATAGTACGACAGTTGAAGTCATTTTTCTCTTCTAGTTATTTCTGCATGCATATCCCTAAGCTTTCTTCACCAATTATGTCATTCACGGCTCTCAAACGAATCTCATCAAATATTGCTACTTCCTTAGTTGCAAAGAAATGAGCTGAGCCATGAATTCTAAATACTATTTGCTATACCCCAAGCAAAATAGGCATAATAAAGGAAAAAGAATTGTAAAGATTTTTCTTTTAAATTTATAAAAGAACAATAAAAGAGAAGACAAGAAGCCAGTGACAAAACCATGTGAGCATCCAAAGCAAATGGCTAAGAAAAGCAATGAAAAGAAAAGCAAAAGTTGGTATGAGGTGGAAGATGGAGTGGAGTGGGGTTTGAGATATATGTATGGAAGGGGTGCGTTTATCTGCTTAAGAAAAGTTAGGGTTCTGCAAATCAGACAATCTTATTAGCTTCTGTCACTATCTTAACTTTTATAGATGCTTGCCCACCATGCATTTCTCCTCCAACTCTCCCTCTTTGCTTCATTGTTTTTAATCTTCTCTCTTTTATTTTCTATCTTTTTATCTTTTTTTTCTTTTTTTTTTTTATTAGTCAGCTTGGATACAACGCATTCGTTGCATCCCACACATTTTCTTTCGTGCCCGAGCCTCAAAAAGTAAGCACTCATATGATTGTCAAAAGCCACTAAATGGTAGGCCATATCAATAACAAAACACAAACACTCATGCATTAGTCTCTCTCTCTCTCTCTCTCTCTCTCTCTCTCTCTCTCTCTCTAATATTTGGTGGTGTTCTGGCTCCACAAAGCTCTGCATGGATGAGTTGACTACAACGCTCCATCTTTCTTCTTGTATGGAAATCTCATCCAACTAGCTAGGTCAACCCGACGTTGATCGCTTCTCATGTCTCTTTCATATTTTATTTATTTATTTATTTATTTTGTTGGTACCATTTGTTTGGGCTATTAACTTAGAGCAGTTTCAGCGTGGGAACCCCCCAGGCAATAAACTATGTTATCCATCCAGTGAACAGTAACTGCCCTTAATGAACAGTAACCGCCTTTTGCATCTCTACCGTTGCACTTTAATAACCCTTGCAATAAGCAATAAAATAAAAGTATTTTTTTATTTATAAAATAATACAAAATAATTTTATTTGTAATTTCGGATAAGTTTTTTAATCATTGTTGTTGCGCCACGTGTCATTATCCGAAAAGTTATAAAATAACACAAAATAATTTTATTTGTAATTTCGGATAAGATTTTTAATCGTTCTCGTTGCGCCGCGTGTCATAAAATCCAAAAAGACAATTATTGGAGATGGATTTCCGATAAAATTTTTAATCGTAGTCGTTGCGCCACATGTCATTATCCGAAAATACAATTATTGGTGATGGATTTCTGATAAGATTATTAACTAATCACGTCGCACCACGTGTCATAATCTGTTTACAATTTTTAAGGATAGATTTTCTTCAGATTTTTAACGAATGACGGCATGCCACGTGGTCTACAACCTAATCCTTTCTGAATCCTCCATATCATCCACCATCCATCCTCACAAATCTCACACCAATTTTCTCAAGATCTCTATTATTATTCATTGTTTTTTATTCCTTCACCAAAATATCATTATTCATAGTTTTTGCTTCATTTTTACAATGTCTTCTTCTTCAAGGATGATGTGGGAAATTGATCAGCAAGAGGAAGAATTGTTTAACCAATCATAAGGAATGTTGAATCTCCAGGTGGCCCAAAATGACAGGAAAGAGGATGAGGAGCGTATAAGGAGAGATGACGAAGGAAGAATGGGCAGAGCCTCACATTCCCATCGAGTCATCCAAGCTATGGCAGATCTGCAAGCCCAGCCGTTCCGGAAACCTTGATAGAAATAGGCAATGACGAGGTACGAAACTCTTGGACGATTATTTTGTCTGTAATAGTGCATTCCCTGATACGTACTTTAGACGTCGTTTTAGAATGGAACGACATTTGTTCAACAAAATCATGATTGCTGTTTGCAAAAATGATTCTTACTTTGTGCAAAAGAATGATGCTTTTGGTGCTATGGGTCTTCTTCCTCAGCAAAAAATTACTGTTGCTTGCATATGGAGCATCTGCAGACCAAGTGGATGAGATAATGAGGATGGGGAAATCAACCATTCTTGAGTCCCTGATGAGGTTTTGTGGAGCAATCAAATCTATCTACACCGCAGAGGCATGATCGGGTGTAGAGTTGTAGAGGGGTGTTGTTCATGAAAACTTCTAGACCGACAAGCACAACTTTGAATTTAGGACAATCTTTGACAATATTCCAACATTCCCATCGGTTGAATGATTTATTTTTTGTTTTGGTTTTGGCACCATACCAAGTTGTGTTTGAAGTTGCTACACAATGCAGGATAAGAAATAATTATAATGAAAGTAGGTAACAAATAAATACTACAAACAAATAATTATAATGTAAATTTGGGTATATTACAAACAAATAAATAATATATTGTTACATGATCCACGTAATTTTCCCCACTTCGACAATTAGTACTAGCTTGTGCTAAGGCGTCTCTCCACATACTAAATGATTGGCTAAGTAATTTCCAACGATTGGACATCGATTCTTTGGTTCCTTTCCCACCCATTTTCTCAAGATAATTGGTATGAATAAGACTCCACAATTCTCGCAACTGCATCTCATTACCCGTAAGCGAACTATGAGTAACTTCAACCCAGCTAGTACACAACGCAACATCTTCAAGAAGCGTCCAATTCGTACCTGCATCAGTAGTCATTTTGTTATTGAAACTTTGAGAGAAAGATAGGAATGTGGTTGAAAGTAGTTGAGAAAATATGAAATTGTGGTATAAGGTAGATGATAATGAGAAGGTATTTATAAAAAAGTAAAAACAAATTTAAAAAAAAAAATTCAAATTTTTTTTTTCAGATTTTTATTCATTTTTTACAATTTTTAAATTTTTTTTTATTCAACTAATTCATCTCTGCAATTGGATTAAAAAAAAAAAATTGAATTCCAACACTTCAGATTGTGCCACATGGCACAACAGTAACATTTCTGAATTTAAAACTATTTTTTCTTTTTATCTTTTTTATTTATAAAGGAAAATAGATCAACGGTTGATATTAAATAAGATTTTTTTTTTATTTTTTTACCGTTGCAAATCTGACAATCCACATTTTCTTGTCGTTGAGATCCAATGGATCATGGGAAGCCACATGGCTTCCCAACGGTAACAATTTGAAACTGCGTCGTGGGCCCCAATAGCTGAAAACATGTCGGGTGACACGCCTCCACATGCGGGTGCAGTGCACGTGCCTGACAGAAAAAAATAAAAAATGGGGTTAACGTCTGGCTGAAGTTAGCCTTGCGTCAGATAGCCTTTAGGCTGGCGAGCTGGGAATTCGTTACAGGCCTGGTGCTTGGACCTGCCCTATCCCTCGGGCTCCCACAAGCTGGAGTCAATAGGCCAGGCTCTCGGATCCTGTTTGCTGGCCTGTCCCCCGAGCTCCAGCCAACGCTGGAAGTGGTGTTAGATTTGGTTGGTTTGTTTTTTTTTTTCGAAAAAAAAACACCTCATAAAATTCTTCTGTTCATATATAAAATCACATATGCAAATTTTGTGATACAGTTTTGTGTTTAATAATTTACAAAATGTTTCTAATGGGTGGAAAATTAACCTGAAATCCTATGCATGCATGAGGTGTGTGTGCACGTGTTTGTAAATCATAACTATATTTATTGTTGGCAAAGTAAACATTTCAGCCATTTGTCGTCCTTAATAAAATTTTAACCTAAGAAAACAAATAAAAATTGAGTGTTGCTATACAGCAATAAAAGACACAACATATGAGCCCTATAAATATCTGTCGAGACACTCATATCTTGAAATGGTGGTTGCCAACTTGGCCTAATAGCTGATGCATAATTGATGTCAACTTTCTTCAACTATTTGATGATCTAAGTAAGCCCTTTGTTTTCTTTTATGTAAGAACAAAGGTTGACAAATTTGATGATCTAAGCTATATTACTCTCAACTTAGACATGGTTAAATATTTTATAGATTAACAACTAGTTAAGCCGCCCCATATTACAGCAATACTACAGTCTAATAACATTTTTAACAAGTGAGAGGTCTCGGTTTTAATTTTCACCAAACGTGTTTTCAAAACAAATTATTATGATTGACTCATTGTATAGCTTAACCAAATCCCATCCCCTTAGTATAAACATTGTCATGACTACGAAATTTGAATGATAAGGGATCTGCAATTGGTTTTAAAAAGTATAAATTGTGATAGTTTGATGGGAACTTTAATGAAAAGCTTCCGCTACTGTTCACTCTAACGAAAAACTACATTTTTACACTAAAAAATCAATCCTTGTACTATTCACTTTACCCTTTATTTTGTTATTATCTTTAAAACTCAGTTTTCAAACCATTTTCATTAGTTTTCCTAGGTTGATTTCACAATCAATGTTAACCGAACAGCTTATAGTGGTGTACAGGTAAACGCAAATGCTACCAGATACAAAGTAAGATGTTTAAGCACCATTGTTAAAACCAGTGAAATTTTTTCATGGTTAATTGGTATGCAAAATAGTATTATCTTGGCAAGCAAGCATATATTATAAGTCCAGTTCAGCTAGAAATTAGGTCACGAACATAAATAAAATTGGTACCACAAGAAATATTGAATTGAATGGATTGATTGATTTCATTGCGTTACACCCTTTATATATACATTGCAAGCCTTTGGTTACAAGGATTAGGATTCGTAGAACTGGTAATTAAGCATAAGCACGTCCGAAAGCAAGCAAACATCAGCTTCAATTTAATTTAAAAATATGGTTCAAATTCATATTTGGCGAAAATCGAACCTACAACCCCTCACTTACAAGTGAAGAGGAATGCCACTCGACCGTAATACTAAATGATAGGTAAATTATATACAAATTGATTGCTAAAGATGATGCAGCTTATCTTATCTTTCACTACAACAATACACACGAAAAAAATAAAACCACGAGAATAATCCCCCCTGTTTTATCTATCATCACAATGGGCCTTATTCGACATAAATATACAAAAAAATCAACAAGGATTCATGTTATCACTGACACTAGGTACCTAGATTGAAGTACAGGCAATGTTGTGTAACTCAAGAAACAGCGACTCCTCAGAGCATGCAGTATGACGAGGATTATGAGGACCCGGTGACATCAGGAAAATGTAACCTCAAGTCTCTTACAAGTGACGAGAAACATCATTTTAGCGCATCTAGATCAGAATAAAATTAAGACTTAGAAAATCTCAAGCTCCGTCTCTGGGATAAATAAAGGAAAGGAATCCTCAATCATCACTCCAACAAGCTAGCAGATTAGAACATAGATGCTAACCAGAACTCTTAAACCTTAGTTTTGCTTTGTATAGTTTCTTTATACATCTCGATCAGCGATGACAATATTTCTATCAAACCCCATACATTGGCAAGAAGGTTTTGACAAAGGAGTATGCAAGTGCACCTGTGAACATGCAACTGTCCATTCTATCTAGTATTCCACCTGCATTAAATGACAAATACCATATGAGCGGCATGCGATCGCAATCTTCAAGGGAGTGATATTACTCGAGAGAAGAAGGAAAATATAAAAGCATAACCTGCATAACAGACCTATATCTCATGTAAAACTACGCTACACGGAAGACAAAGCAGTAGTGGAATACTAGGTAAAGAGAGACTGCAGGAGGCCATAGAAAGATCGCGTACAAACACCGCTTGAATCAACAGAGCAGTAAGCTGGTATGAAGAATATGTAATGCAATCAACAAAGATAACCAATAGATTTTAAGTTAAAAACTTTTTCTAGAATTCATGGTCAATTGTCCATGCTCCATATTCTAAGCTACAATTATAACTGTACAAGATGACGGGTATTAAATCATATATCCCCAACTAGGTAAAGATAGATAAATGAAAATATTATTATATGGATTAAAAAGTAATAACATTAGGGGTTGACAAGTTGGAGAAGACAAGGCATCCAGCAGGGGAGTTTTTTGGGAGCTAAGGTCTCAAGTCATTTGGACATGATCTAACACGTAACAGCTGCAAAACAGGACCCCTCCTTGAAGGACCCTACTTGAGGACTTCTGTATTGGTCTTTAGATCATATTCAAATTTTTGAAATACATTTCACCCACTATGAACTAATTTGCATCTCATCAGTCCATATATGACCTAAAATGAGCTGCAAATCCTCAAGTTGTTCTCAGCTCTCAGAAGAACACTAGTGTGAGTGTATATTGTTTGGATTTGGCTCGTCATTCGTTAGATTCGTATTTTGTTTAGGGTTGTATTAGGAAAGCTAAACGTGCACATACTTTTGTCCTACAAGAATTAGGAAAGAATAGCTTTTCTTGTAAAATTGGATTAGGAATTTTTGAAGCAGAAATGGAGTAGGAATGTAAGTGTACTTCCTATCCCAAATAGAAAAGGAATCCTAATCAGTAAATAGGTGTGTAAGCCGCACCCTATACTTATAAATAGGGTGAGGGCAAGAGGCAAAAACACGAGAGAACAGAGAGACAGCCGAGAAAGTTAGAGGGATTGGTTCTAGGGTTTACAAAAGTACTGTTTGCTCTATTACTAATTCAGAGAAGCCATGATTTCTCTACCCAGAGAAATAACAACTGGACGTAGGTTCTGCCAAACCAGTATAAATCTTGTGTGTTTCTAGTTATTTTCTATTTGCTATGTTTAGTCTATTGTCGTATACATCAAAGAACAAGCTCCATAAGGGAGTTGGAATTATAACATATATATACCAATAAGTAGCTTTTAAATAAACATAGAATAGAATGAAACATTCTTGAAATAATTTTCATCAACTAACAGATAATGCATTTTCTCAAAAACTTTCAAAAGTTAAAAGACTTTAGCACAAGAGTAATCATTGGCTGAAAGGCATTACCATGTCCCGGTATTAGTGATCCGGAGTCCTTAACACCCGCATCACGTTATCATTGATTCGGTAAGATCACCAAAGACAGACGCAAAAAAATTGAGAAGCCCAAAAGCTATAGCACTGAAAACAATAAAAATAAATAAATAAATGAACATTAAACATACTTTCAAGCTGTACAGAGCTAAAGATTTCACTGGATAAGAGTGAATACCTTAGCAAAGATTTTGGCCAGCAAAAAATCCTCGATAACACAACAGAAGTGGCTATACAACCACCCAGGCCTACAATAGCTCCTTCCCACGTCTTCTTTGGACTAACACTAGTCAGGGGCGTCCTACCAAATGCCTGCATGTACACAGCTATATCAAGAATTTATTACAGGCATGGGACCAACAAATACCCTGAAACAAGGAAGTCCTTCACAGTATGTCATTGGAAAATAAACTTTTTGCATCTTGAAATTTTAGATGACTTATCCAACTTCTCATATCAATTGCCAAAATTACTGTTTTCTCCAAAACTGAGATAGCTGGATACTAAAAACGGAAAAATTCTTTCAAATAAGTTTCAGGCAGAGTGAGACATTAACAAACTAAAACTTGCTTTGTCGGATTAGAAATTTTTTTGGAAAAAACCTATACACCTTCACAGAGATGGAAAGCAATCAGTTGGAAAAAGGTTAAAGTGCAGAACACATACAACCTTTCACACATGTACCCAAGAATTGTTAGCCATCACTTGTGTTCCCAAAAATCAAATCATGATAGTTTCCAAATTCATGGTTCAATTTCTTTAGAGGTATACTCATCATCAAAAATGGATTGTTTATTCCACAGGGATTTTATAACTGCTTGTTGACAACATCTCGGAGCCACTCTAAACTTTATTTGCATAAGATTGGAAGCAATAATACCTTGAGTCCCCTTCTATTGAGGGATCCCTCAAATAAGCTCTTTTGAGGGACACTTTCTGAGGCCCATTCTACATTGTAGTTCAATGATCTAATTGGGACAAAATAAATAGATAAACATGGTGCTTTTGGTAAACACTAAAATGATCAACAATAAATCAGATGGTTCCATGCCTTCTGATTTCATTGATTTTTTGCAAAGATGGTAGGTAAACCTTAAAAATGGAGAGTTCCAATTGTTAATTTTTGTTTCAAGGTGGAACCTAAAAATGTGTTCCTTAAATAACTGGGGGACAACCTTTAAAAGAAAATTGCCACATGCAATAACAACAGTTCTATAAAGAACTTGATATCAAAGGAAGATGTACTTTTTAAATTAAAAAATTAAGAAGAGAAAAGATAGATGTGATGCATAGATACCTTGCCACCCACAAAGGCATAAGTGTCGGCTGCAATAATGCTACTGAAAGAAATCAAGGTTGCCACAAGACCAACAGTCCAATGCGCTTGTCCACCAAGAAGTATGGGCCATGCTGCATCAATTCCTACCAAAGAACAAACTAATTAGAAACCAAAGCTTCACGTAGAGCAAGTAAACTCCGGTTCCCATCCATCCCACAAATTTTCATTACAAAAATGTAAGCCCAACTGCTTACTAGTGTGCAAGGCTGGTGCTGCTAGACCACATCGAAGCTTAACCCAAAAACAAGGAAGATAACCACAATAAAATAGCCCAAACATAGTGCTGCTAAGCTGTGCAAAGCGAGGATTTCCTCTCTGTAAAAGCAATGCTATAGCAACAAAAAAGGAAGCAGAGGTCACTGAAACATCAATCTGACCGCGATACCTGCCCACACATCAGAAGATCTAATCATAATTGAACCGGGATCACCTATCCCAAGCTGAAATTCATGCCTACATATTAATTATTAAGACAAATGCTTTGATTCAAAGTTAAAATATTTAAAAACAATGATGAATGAAAAAGCATTATTTTAGAGTCTATTGAAGCAACAAATAAACACTTATGCAAGTTTCAGACAACACTACCATTCTGACAATTCCTATACCCATTCAAGCACATCCATAATAACACAAGTTTAACTAGAATGAAAGAATTAAAATTCCCAATGAATGAAAGCGTAAATGGAAAAGCCGACCTCCACAGCATATTCAAACTAATTGAAGTGACAAGCATAGGATTTCAATGTAATACACATCAAACAAATCCCTGCAATGATAAATGGAATGTGCGGAGACCTGTAAATTGGTAAAAACCTACTTTACATATTAAAGTTTTACTCTTTTGCCGCATTTTCTTAAAACCAGTACCCCCCCGGCCCAGTAAAAAATAGTTTCTTTTGCAGGAACATGGTTTCTATTAAAATTTCTCAAGAAAAAAGGACTTAGATACTAGCTACAATTTTATTTCCAGCTTCCAATGTGTATGTACGAAAGGTAATAATAATGTATAAATCAACACAGGAGGAAAGTGATAAAGTATTATAAAAGAAATTCCGTACTTGAGGGACATTACGGATCTTACAAGGTTACTAGGGGCATGAGAGCACAAATTACAGAGCAAACTCGTGATACATATCGAGGTGGAGGTGTCATTCCTTCAGAAAGCCCACGACTCCTAACCAATTCAAAGTACTCACGTGCACCAATAAAAACAGCTGCTGCCACAGCGGCTGTGAATACCCATCCTCCAGCCAACACAACAACGGCAACAGATAACCCAATACCAAATCCAAAGACAATTCTTTTCTTCAACTGACTTGCTTTCTGTTGATGCTCTGAGACCACATCCTCGTTTGATGACAATTTACGGCCTTTGTGGACTTCCTACAACATACCCATTTCACTACATTGCTTCAAGAGAACATGCAACTTCTCAAAAGAAAACAGAAATGCGTTAGTTAAAACTCAATCAAGCAGAAACCAACCTCCCCACACACCACCCCACATCACCACCACCCCCCGCGCGCAGTGGCGGATCCAGGATTTTAAACTCGGAGGGTCCCAATTATAAAGGTCAAAAAATTTATAGACAAAAATAACATTGAAAATTTAAATATAATACATTTCATTTAAAAATCATATGCAAAACAATATTACAAATTATAAAATCATAATTCAAGCGTCCATTACGAGGTTTCATAAGTTACTAGGGAGTACCTAAGTTATTGATTATCTAATATGAACCACTAAATTTAAAGGGGTGTGTTATTCACACACCTCTTTTTGCGTCTCACACACCCTTTATTTATTTCTGTCATTTGATCTTTTTTAATTCAGTCGATCCGACGCCCGCAAATTAAGAGAGTGTGTATGAAGTAAAAAGGGGTGTGTGGATAGCAAATTAAAACACCGGTCAAATAAAACTCTCCCCAAACTCCCACTATCTTTCTAACCAAACACACCATTTTTCTCTTTTACTAGTTTCCAAACATCCACCTTCTCTCTCACTAAAAACAAAGTTGTCATACCTCTACTAACCGCCTCCCTCCCCATTCTCCCGAAGCCATGGTAGCTCCACCACCAAATTTCACCAACCCATGACAGATCATATCCATCTTACTAACCTTATGAAAGAAACTTCACCCATAAGAAAAATTACTAAGATGGTTGAAATAATTTGGGAAAGTTTGGGCTTATGTACTGCCCTCACCAGACGACACAGAAAGGTTGGAGGAGAAGTGGGTGGCACCGATGAATGAGACCATGGCAGAAGTAAGGAGAAGAGAGGCAGGAAGGGTCCCTATTTCTTTCTTCCCCGTGCGCGGTCATCTTCTCCAAGAAGAAGATAGCCACTGCAACCTACACAGACCTCATGATTGAGTACGAGGGGTCCTCAAAAAATTTATAGCAACGATTTAGGATTGCCGACGGGTCCTGGGACCTCCCTGGTCCCTATGTGGATCCGTCCTTGCCCGCGCGCCCCCCCCCCCCCCCCCCCCCCCCCCCCCCCCCCCCCCCAAAATAAAAAAGAAAAAAGCTGTTCAGAGTTCGAGAATATTTTCACCCATACGACAAAACTATTTCTAGATCACTTATGAAATCACGTATATACCACGACACTGCATCAATATGATAACTTCCTATGCCGTGTATTTCATTCTTCAACACCCTTAAAAAGACCTCACATTCACAACACTACCCATTCAACGAACCCTTGAAGTTCTTAGCACACTCATCCAATGGCAATCAATGCACGGAGTTTAAAATTCGAGATTTGTGTAGTGAATAGATTAAATCACACTCATCCGATGGCAATCAATGCGGTGTCAAGCAAAATATGCACTCTGCAAAAATTTCCTAATTCCAATCTTTTCTTTAACTACCAACCACTCTAAGCCACTAAAGAAAGTTCCTTTTAAGCGCCAAAACCACAACTCACAATCAAATTCACCCCCACCTTAATTTTTAATCTAATTCACCAAAATGCCACTCACAATCACAGCAAAACCAAAAATGCACAACCAAAAAAGAATCAAACTTCATCCTTTTTGTTTCTTTTTCTCCAGTACCTGATCGGCATTGTCATCGCCAAGATGCTCCGACTCCGCCCGAGCCACAGCCGTAATTACACGGCGGCGCGCAAGAGCTCTATTCCGGCCTAGCCCCAGCTGACGTCTATTCCCATCGAACAAGAGATCCAAATTACCCAATTTCGCCGACGGACGATTAAAAACCAGGGTTCTTGAGGGTGAGGGACGGCAGGGACAGAAGCAAAGAGAGGGGAGGGGGGGGAGTGGGGTGGACTGCACCGGTAGCGTTGGGAAAACGACGTCGTTTTCCTCAAGGGTGGCCGGCCATTTCTAGAGAGAAAGGAGAGTTTGTGTTTCTCCAATTTCCCCCAAAAAAAAACCCTTAATGACTTTTGGCTATTAAGTCACACTTATACCTTAATTCATTTGAGTGGCAAACTTGTAAATAAGTCCAAAACCCACTCTTTCTCTAAATGGCCGGCCTTAGGGTATTCATTGGGCTATTTGGGCCTTTGTGAATCATTATTCATTAAGTTGTCATACAACTTAAGTCAATGGACTTGACGTTCGAAGCCCATTGGGCCTTAAGGTCCAAAACTATCCCGAGGTCTTCAACGAACTTATTCGTTTGATTAATAATCATATTAATTAATCCTTGCCATAAATAATTAAACCATTTAATTATTCTTACTCATCTCCGTTGAATCTTCAATCTCTACCTTACACGGTGTACGATCCATTAGGTTCCTTTTAGCGAGGCAGTGGGCGATTCAAACTCTTTCAAATCGATTGTGAATTGAAACTTACTTTCAATTCTCCCGTTAGTGATAATACACTTTTAGGGCTTCCACAAACCATGGTTGACGCCTAGCAGCATGTCATGGTTACCCAAGCTAATCAGAAGAGGTGGAGAATTTTCGAATTTTCAAGTCAAAACACACTAAACACACTTAAAAACAGCAAGAAACAACATTTGAAGTTATGGTGGATAAAACCCTACGAATTTGCATCAAAACACTTTAGTAACTCCCCCACACTTAAATCAAACATTGTCCTCAATGTTAAAAACCACACTAAACACAAACAAACATAAAAACAGCAATTAAACATACTAAACATGGCAGAATGTATCTAACAAAGAGAAGAGTTTAGAAATGCAAATCTGGTTGTGGAGTGTTCGTTCCATCTTCTCCTTGATCATTGCAGTGAGGCTTGGATCTTTGTGATTCCACAGGCTTACTCTTGAACTGCGCTGCTCCCATCGTTGATTTTCCTTTGTGCTACTCTTGAACTGGGCAGCAGGCTTCCTTTCGTCTCCCCCGAAGGTCTGAGCTTCCTCCTCTTATCTGTTTCTTTGTTCGATCTCTCCAATTCGTATTGAAGAGGGTTAGAGGATAGCTTAGCAAAGCTAGGTAAGCAACCAGGGAATAGAGTCCATATAGACTCCAAGTGCCGGCTGATTGCTTCTTTCACTTTGCCATGCAAATAATATCAAGGACAAAGGAAAAGACAGGGAAAGAGCATGATATGAGATACCTTTGCTTTTGCCCTTGATGATATGAGATACCTTTGCTTTTGCAGAAGCGGTGAATGAATCAGCACATGTATTTGTTGTGCTGCTTCCTCCTGGATCATCTGTACTCCAGGTATCTGGTATCATCTTTGGGGAAGAAGAGAGAATGGAATATCTCGAAAGGCTTTGCTGGGAGTGCACCCTCAGAGGTGAGAAAGAGTTGGGCATTTTCTTCAGTTCTGTCTTGCCAAAAAAAATGAAGGTCGACATGTATAGGGAATTCAATAGCAAGTGGTGGTACTGTTCTTTTACCGTTGTCGACAAACGTTTTGATCCCGCAAATCCGGCTTTTTTTGGAATAGTGACGACTCTTCGATCTTTAAAGACGCCTCTTCGATTTCTGAGCAGTCGCCCCTTCGATTTCTGAACGACACGTAGTAGCGCGGATGCGGCTCTGTCTGAGATCTTTTGACACGTGGCACGCGTTTTCTGCAAAGCCGGGAGTTTTCGACAAATATGCACACGCTTTCTGGAAAGCCGAGAGCTTTCGGCTTTGTCTCCCACACTTGTCGGCTAAAGTGTGCAACTGATTTCTCGCCTTCCACGCGTCTTCTAAAAAGCTGGGATTGCGTCTGACGAGCTGGTGATCTTTACGCCGGAAATTCCGGTTCTGAAGAGTGGTGTCTCTTCATTCTGAATTGGTGAACGCCTCTCCTTTAATAGAGGTGATTGATCACCTCTAGCATGCACACTTGAAAATTGCCCAGAAATCGTCTCCGGCCCGTTTGAAAATCTACTCCGTCCACCCCTTCTCTTTTAACTTCGTGAACAATGGCTAGCTCATCCAACCCATCAAACCTTTGCTTAGATTTGAGTCTAAGCAGTGATCCGGTCGCGTCTCATCAGGGTAAGGTATGGTGCCCGTCTTTCTTATCTTCCCATAGCCCTCTTACAGATGAGGACTCTGTGATGATGGATCCCACAACAGCTACGATAGTGGCTCGGAACCTCCTCACTCCCAAAGACAGTCAGCTGCTTTCAGGACGGTCCGATGAGTTGGCCGTTCAAGAGTCCCTGGCTCTCAGCGTTCAGTGCGCTGGTTCTGTGTCAAACATGGGCCAACGCCTCCTTGCTCGCTCCCGTCAGGTTGAATCATTGATGGCGGAGGTGGAGAACCTGAAGCAAGAGATAAAACAACTTAAGCACGAGAATAGAACTTTGCACGTGCTTGCAAATAATTATTCATCAGGCATGAAGAGGAAGCTTGATGAGCTTGATGACCGTCAACGGTTTGCAGCTTTCTTCCAGAGACACCTCTTTCCTGGGTCATCCAGCGTTCCACCAAGGTTTGGGGCCTTGAATGATCTATCCTCGGTGCCTCCTGCTCCTATGCCTCCTGCTCCGATGCCTCCTGCTCCTATGCCTCCTGCTCCGATGCCTCCTGCTCCGAGACCTCTTGCTCCGAGAGTGTTCCCACGTAGTGGGGCCTCACGTACACAACCTTTGTAAAGGCTCCATCTTTCTGCCATGTTTAGATACAATTGTAATTTATCAAAAAAAATCAATGAACAAGCAAAAGTTTTATTTACTGTATTGGGTTGCCTCCCAAGTAGCGCTTGCTTTTACGTCTTGTAGCCGGACGAAGAACACAATCATGCCTTAATGGAACCCACGTCATGGAGTTGATCATTGAATGGATGATGATACTTGAAATGTTCCGGCAATGGTTGAATTTCAAGAGTGGGTGCCCTAATCATTGACATCAACAACATATTAGTCAAAAACGACTTTGGATTTTGAGTTGGTGGCTTACCTATGGGCTGCAATATTGGCTCTAAAGTCGCAGCACATTCAACAAATGCACAAGGGATGTTTTCATTCAGATTGGACATTTTGAAGGTTGTGGCTGTGTGATCCACTCCAATTTCCTCCTTGATGAATTCAAGATGCTCCTCAACCACTTTTTCCTCGTGAATTGTTGGAAAGGTGTCCAAGATGTCTTTCTTCCCCTCATCTTTCATGGATTGCATGAACCTGCCAGGGAAGGGTGCATTTGGGGGAACAAAGTTAGAAATAATTAAATTTGGAACAACCTTACTTGAATGGGGTGGTGTAGGAATATTGGGAGGTTGCGGCAAGGGTTGTTCTTCCCTTGCCGTGCCTTGTGCATCCTCCTCCTCTTCGAGCAGTAGCAATTCATCCATGGGCTCATCTTCAACCATTTGTTCTTGAATTTGTTCCATGCATTCTGCATTCTGCCTAAATTGACTGTTCCACTCAGCCAACTTTTTTGCTTGATAGAAATCCTCAATTGGTCGCCAAAATGCGTCTTGTTGAAATGGTTGAGCTTCCCTGCCCTGCTCCACAGAATTCAGTTGTTGAATAACTTCATTATAATAATTTGATATACCTGAATTTGGATGTGAAGATTGAGGGGAAGGCTGTGGTGGTGCATATGAATCCTCATATGGTTGCCAATATGTTTCTTGGTGAGTCTCCTTAGCTTGATTTTGTGAACCATGCACCAAAGAGTTTAATTCATTAAGAATTTGATTATAATCTATTGACGAATTTGAGTTTGGTTGGGCATATTGAATATGAGGTGGCTCCCAATATCTTTCTTGTTGAACATTTTGAGGTTCCCACCACATAGAAGTTGAATGATCACTCCAATCCGAATTGTAAGTATTGGAAAACACGTTATTCCTTGATTGAAGATCAACTATATCAACGTTTTGCATTTGGGACCTTTCCATGAGCTGTGACAAAAGATAAGCATTATCAAATGCCATGTTGTGCTTCTAAAATCAACAAAATAAAACTAAAAATATATACACACAAACGAAAATAAAACAATCCAAGGGATTAGCAAAGTTGCTAATCCCCGGCAACGGCGCCAAAATTTGATGCGAGTTTTATGCGCGCACAAATTAAACCCTCTTTTTATCAATTGTAGTAAGTACGTAAGTAGGGATCGTTCTGGACCGGGGATTAGGAGGGATTGTTAACCACTTGGATTTGACTTCAAAAACGTAAAAACAATATAAAACACTAAACTAGACTCAAAGAATGTGAAAGTAAACGTTAAAACACTAAGACAAACCAAAAGACTCAAAATGCTTTAAAAACACAAACTAAAATGATTTCTAACTAAATTGAACAATAAAGTAAAGGGGGATTGAGTTTTGGACGGAATTAAACTAAATGAACAAATTGCAATTAAAACATAATGTAAATATGAAATTGATGAAATGGAATGAATGGATGCTAGCCAAGGGGTTCATCTCCACACATGTTACACTTGCATAATAAAAAGATTTCTAATTGCTTTTCAATAAACCATGAATTCTCAACGCCCCGGGTTAATTAGGTCCGCTTAAATTAACCGTCAAGTTTTCCTTAAGTTAATGAATTGGATGATTGCATACGACAATCCAAAGCATTCCTCACAAGTTCCCTACATGAATTGCATAATAGAGATACAAGCAAGAATCATTAAGCATCATGAAAACTATAAGTGTTGACGAGGCATTCGTTACTATGATTGCATGAAACTTATGCCAAGAATATGTTTAACACGATTGTTTATAAGCAACCTCCACTACTTGTGAATATAAGTTCATAACTATTACGTGAAACTCACTTATATTCTAGCGTCAAATTCATGCATGAAAATTAAGCGTTCATTCTTAATAAACATACATAAATAGGTTATCAATCAAACAGTTAAACAAATTGAATTCACAACTTATGAAACGTAATTAAAAGTAATCAAATCATATTACAAACATAAACA